GCTATTGAGGCCAGCGTTTGCAGAGTTCTCCACTAACTGTGGGCGTCTCGGTTTGTAGGCGCTCGGCCTGAGATCCCCACAAATATTGAGGCCCCCCCACTATGAAGGACACTTTTGAAAACTGCGACGTGCTCCCATCACACACTGTCTGTGGCTGCGCCAGGAGCTGGGCCAGATCTCCTGGGTCCCAGCCCAGCGCCGTGTCCACCAATCACTGCTTCTCCTGTGGCCCTGCCTCATTCAGCCTGGGCCGGGTCACTGCCTGGGGCGGGGTCTGGAGAACAGAGGGGAGGGGATCATGGGATTAAATAGTGACTCTCGGTTCCTACGCACAAGGGGCAGCGTTAAAGTCGCCTCCCTGCCCCGAGTCTCCAGGGGCTGCTGCTCCTGGCTGGGGAACCCCCCAGTGACTCTGTCCCCACTCCCCGGCCGGGCGTCCTCTATGTGGGGTCAGGGCTCATGGCAGAGCCTGGCTCTGAGCGTCCCATTGGCACCGAGCCCCCGTGAGGGTCTGGCTGGGGGTGGGGCTGGGAACGGGGACGCCGAGCCGGGCCCCTCACCTCTCACCACCAGCTCCACGGGGTCGCTGGGGTACGACACGTTGAACGGCTCCGATCTGCTGTGATAGGAGCAGCTGTAGCTCCCACCATCCTCCCGGCTCACATTGCTGATGGGAAACACAGCCTCAAAGTCGTCCGTATCCACAGGTAGGAAATGGCGTCGCTCTTTATTCAGCACGAACTGCACGCCCCGGTGCTGCCCCCGACACCAGACGCTCACGACGCCCCCCAGGGAGACCGCCCTGCTGGGGCTCAGGTAGATGTTGGGTTTGGGGTAGCTGGGCTCTGCAGTGGGAAGCAGACAGGCCGTGAGACGCAGGCCCCGTCACTCAGTCCTGGGGCCCGTCCTCATCATGCAGCCACAGTAGTGAGTCAGACTCAGGGGCCCTGGGGACAGGCTCCTGGCAGGTGACAGGCCAGTCCAGGGTCCATTCACTGCCTGACTTTTCTGCTGGGAGGGCTGGGAGCTAGGACTCCTGGGTTCTCTCCCTGGCTCTAGGAGGGGAGTGGGATCTAGTGGGGCGAGCAGGGAGGATGGGGGCCAGGACTGCTGGGTTCTGTGCACAGCACCACTCCTGACTTGTAGGGGACTGTGCAAGTCTCTACTATACACTGAGGTTTAAAACCTTCAGCTCCACCCATCACCCCGTAAGTGATGTGTTGCCTGGGATAGCCCCCGCCCCCGCTCTGCAGCTCCCCCTGGGGGCAGGGATCCCCCCTTCCTCTGCCCCAAATCTCCAGTGGCTGCTTCTGCCCCCTGGCTGGGGAACCTCCCAGTGACTCTGTCCCCACTGCCCGGCCAGACGTCCCCTCTGCTGGGCCCAGTCCACACTGCCCAGCCTGGCTCTGAGCATCCCATCAGTGCAGAAATCCCTAGAGGATCTGGCTGGGTGTGGGGCTGGGAGCCGGGACACTGGGCCACACCCCTCCCTCACCTGCTACAATGATCTCGCTGGGGTCGCTGGGCGACGACCTACAATTCTGTTCCATTATGGAGATAGTCCTCCCCTCCCCGCCCCAGGCCACACCTAAGGCCAGCCAGGGAGCCTGACCAGTGGGTCCCCGCAGCTCTGCCCCCCACCCTGGGGTTGGAAATAGAGTCTGTGACCGGCAGGAGTTGCACAAGACCTTGGGCATTGGGAACGGGGGGCTGTGAGTGCAGGGGAGGGAGCTTTCAGGGGTGGATCTGGGGGTGGGGGTGGGGGTGGATCTGGCAGCTTCTCCCCCATGGCGGCACTGACAGTGAATGTTTCAGTTACCCTGAGGTGATTTATATCCCATGGATGGGCCCTGTTAGCGTTTGTATGAGCTGAAATAAATCCATGTGCTGTCCCTGCCCCCCATCGATCCTCACAGCCTGGGGGGGGGCAGGACATTGAACCAGGGACGGTTCCCGTCTGCTTCGTCAGACCCCGGGAGCCAGATTCGGCTCCTAGTTACTCCATGGGGTGGGGGGCAGGGCACAGAAGAATGGGGCCGGGTCCGAGCTCACAGAGGAAGTTTGGGTTGAATTTTGGGGACGGTTCAGGACTCAGTTCCTCTTTTCCCCATCCCATGCATCCCCTCCCCCATCCTTGATGTTACCGTCCTCCCCAAAGACTGATACTCACCTCCCCACACCCCGCTGTGCCCGGACAGCCAGGAGCCTGGAGAGGAGACGGCTCATTAGTGACCAGATCCCAGAGCAACTGGATCCTACACCCTCGTCCCAGATCCCCCTCCCCATGGACACATGCCCTGGTCTCACATTCCCCTCCCCCTTGGACACACACCCTGGTCTCACATTCCCCTCCCCAAAGGACACACACTCTAGCTGTCTCCAATACTCACCGAGGAGGAGAACGGTGAGAGCAGACGCCATGATGGGGCAGTGGGGGAACCCTCAGCGCTGCCACCAACACCCCATTGCTGAGCTCCACCAAGTCTGAGGCCCGAGTGCGAGCGGAATGAGGAACTTCCTGGGGCTGCAGCCCCAGGAAGCCCGTGATGCACTCGGCCCCTTTCTTCAGATGGTTTCTCTGCAATCTCCAGGCCAAATCTACCACGGTCAGCGCTAAGCCAGATCCCTGCAACGCTCAGAAAACCACATCCTTTCCTGCAGCTGCCTGGTCCCCCGCCCCCTCCCCAGTCACCTCCCAGCCCCACATGGGAGCTGCCCAGTCCGGAGACCCAGCTGGGAATTGGGGAATCTCAGGAGGCATCAAGAGGTGACAAGGCTGCCTGTCTAGCCTCCCTGGAGCAGCCGCTCAGAGCAGAGGAGGGCTCCCCCGCACACACAGTGCCCCCCACGAAGCGATCCTCCCCCATGGAGCGGGGCAGAGGTTCCTTCCTGACCCAGCTGGGCCCAACGCCCACCCTGGAGTATGAGAGTGGAGGGACCTGGCCAACCTCCTTCCGAGGTAGTTTCACTGCAGATACTGTTCTTAGCGCAGTGGTGTGAGAGAGAGACGAGACAGAGGGGTGGGGGGTGGTTTCTGGCCCCTTTGAGGTGGGGAGGGAGGGCGGGATACATTTAGATCCTAATTTCCTAAAGGAGCAGCCAAACAATCCGTGAAAAGGGGAAGTGTGTCCAGAGCCCGCGTTCGCTTCCTGTTTCTGTTACTGCCAGTGAAGCTCAGCATAAACCTGACTCCCCAGTAGGGTGACCAGACAGCAAGTGTGAAAAATTGGGACAGGGAGTGGGGGGTAATAGGTTTCTATATAAGAAAAAGACCCAAAATCGGGACTGTCCCTATAAAATAGGGACATCTGGTCACCCTACTCCCCGGCAGCAACCCTGTAATATATCCTGGTTCTTGGAGGGGACTGGGGTGTAGTGGTTAGAGCAGGAGGGCCCACTGACCCCCCCCCACCCAGAGCAATCCCATCTCCCCTAGGTGTGACACACATTCCCGGAGCAGGGACAGGGGGCCACTGGTTTCTGGTTCTCTGTTTATTACAAATCTGGAGATTAACAGGATGCAAAATCACATAAGAGCTGCCTCAATGTGTCCCCTCCTCCTCCAGTAAAGGTTAAGAACCACTGCTCTAGAGGAAAACTTCCTTCAGCAACAACTGACTCTTTGTGGGTCTTACTTATATAAATCCAGGATCACCTCTGGCTCGTCAGGTGGAATCCTACCCAATCCCCTTTCAGGCAAACTGCTAGATTTCATAGTGAAAAGGTCAGAAGCATTTTCCTTCCCTTTGCCACACAAAGGCGTAGGAACCTTTTTCTTCTTGCTACAAGTTTCCAAACCGTCAGTAGGCAACACAATTAAATCACCATTCTGCTCTCCTTCTGCCCTGGCTAGGGTATCACCCTGATCAGACAGAGTTGCTGCATCCCATTCCAGCCACACATTCGCAACAGGCAAAATACAAGCACCAGAATTGTCTGGTCTCTGGGATTTTGCATAGACACTAACTGGATGCAACCGAGTCACAGAGCCATTCTCCCCAGCAGACACAAACTCAGGACCATTCCTTTCCTGGGTTTTAGTTGAATCCAGAATCAATTCTGAGACAACTGCATTATTTACAACCGTCACAGGCTGAAAGGCACCGTTTGTCTGCTCCACAAAGAAGAGCCGGAGACACATTCTCCTTTACCAGACATACAGCTTGGGATAACCTTTCCCTTGTCCCAGCACACAGGGCCGTTCACAGACAACTGCTTGGAGGCTGGGGTAGCTCCCTCCATAGGCAAGTCAATATCCCTAACGGACACGGGCACATTTCCTTCACTGTCACAGTTCTCCACACAGGTAAGGTCTAGGGACACTCATCTTCCACTATCCCGGCCTTCCCAAACTGCTGACTAGACAAAGCCATCAGCTCACAAGGCTGCCTAGACTCCTCCAAACTTTCCTTACCAGGCACATTGCCACTCCCAACAGATAAACTGCTGCTCTGCTCACCACACTGACCTACTTCCAGCAAATCACAGTTACCCTTTTCAGGTTCACTTTTACAAGCTGTACGAGCCAACAATCCATCACCCATCAAAAATGTACCCTGGCCTTTTCTTCCTCCGTTAGGGCTTTATCCCAACCATCCACTTTAATCTGCTCCTGAGAAACATTTTCCTGACCAATGAGATCTTTCTGTGCTTGATCTAATTCCAAATTCACTTCTAAGACATTAGACAGACGTTCAGAAATGTCATTCACAGACAAACAGCTTTTTTGCACATTTGGAGAAACCCTTCCCAGTCAAATCATTGACCACAATAGACCCAGGTTTAAGATCATTCCCTTCCTGTGACTGGTTACCTGGACTGAACAAAGCTTTAATGTTTTCCCCAATCTAAAGATCCTTTGGCAATAACTTCCTTACACCAGCTATAACTTCATGCTAAGTACCATTCCATTCAAGGTGGATTCTGGCTGAAGGCACGCTTACAGTAAACTCATAGAGGACTACAACATTCGCACTTTGATTTGGTAAGTAATCTTCCTCTTTTGACAAGATCTGCTTTAACAAGAGTGATGTTAGAAGCCATAATTTGCCCTAAACAGCATTTACCATTGACTTTTACACTCTCTAGGAATTTTCCATGACCACTCCCATACATAGCCTGGGCACAATATATGGGGTCACCTTCTACTGAACTTACAGTAACAACATTTACATAAAAGGTGGCAGTGTTGGGGTACATTTGGTTACACCCAGACAACTGCTCAGAGTTATACAACAGACCAACATTGTTATCAACTGGACTTTCAAGAGGATGCAGTTTCTGCTGTTCTTCCATTGCTTTATTGACCTGGGCCTTGGCTACACTTGCAGCTGTACAGCGCTGTGAGGTAAGCCTGTCTTCGTGCAGCTGAGTAGGGAAAGCGCTGCAGTCTGTCCACACTGACAGCTGCCAGCGCAGTGGTGTGGCCACACGTGCAACATTTGCAGCTGTGTTGGGAGCGGTGCATTATGGGCAGCTATCCCAGCATTCATGTGGCTGCAACGTGCTTTTCAAAACGGGGGGGTGGGGTGGATTGTGACAGGGAGTGTGGGGGGAGAGAGAGTGCTTTTTGGAGCATGTCAGCTCTCTATTTTGCAAGTTCCGAACTCCCGGCCCCCTGCTCATTCATTTACTCACTCAAAGCAAGTTGCAAACTGTTTGCTTTTCTCTGCGGTACGAACTTTGAAACTGGCACATCCGC